ATAATATTTTCATAATTAATATTAATATATTATTTTTTATTTTTTTTGTTATATATTAAAATTTGTAGAATTTAATTATTTAAAATATGATAATATTTTTAAAAAAAAATTCATTAGTTATAATTTATAATATTTGATTTTATGAATATGTATTAAATTTATTTTGTCGCGTGTGTGTCTATATGTATATATATAATTTTACATAATTCTATAATTCGAACAATAACGGTTTGAACATGATTGAACACATGCTTGTTCTTATTTGATCAGTTTATAAGTCAAACAAAAAAAAATTGTTGTTTTTCGTTTTGTTTGCTTATCGAACGAATGGAACTCGAACTTACTGGCGAGTCGAACACAAACAGTTCGCCAACGACGGTTTTTTTTTGAAACCCCAGGGGTATAAATATATATGAATTATTAGTAATTGGTATTAATTATTTTATTTCAAATCTAAAGAATTTTAATAATTAAAAATAATTATTCAAAATAATAATTTTAAAACTTTCTATATTTATGATTGAATTTGATTAACAAAGATGTTGTTTTTAATAATATTATAAATTTAATTTAGCTCAATAGAATTTATTTTAAATTAGTTTATAGAGACTTAATCAAATGTGCATTAATTTATTATCATATATTACTCATATTTTAAATAACTCTGGGCTACTAAAACAACAATTTTTTGTTTATATTTATATTTATTTCTTTTATTTTTAAGAAAACATTTCTTTTGTTTATCTTTTAAAAGTTTTATTTTCATTTTAAAAATAAATTAACCTAATTTTTTCAAATATTTTAGATATTTTGAATAATTTTAAAAACAATCATTACTATTGCACGATAGACTTTGACAAGATTGTAAATTGAGTTATGATAGTAGGTTAATGTCACATGTCACATAGCACAAATAAATCCTGAAAATCTGAATTTATCAAATGCAAAAGGGATAAATCCATAAAAAGCATTCGGTTCGATTAAGATTAAATCAAGCTAAATCACTCTGAAGTGTTTGGAGACGAGTGAAGCAATAATCCGCAGGTGTGTTTTTTTCCTCACTTAAAATCGTTAAATCCAACTAACAAACAGATTTAGTAAATGTCGGCACTATTTTTTGGTGTGGGGTTTGCCCCGACAAACCTGCCAACTCCTCTGCAACTGCACATGCCGCAACTTCTGCGACAAACCTGTGAACTCCGCTGGTCGAACAGCATCAAACTCCTTTGTTTGCAAACGCTCCTGTTCGCGGTAACTGCACACGAACTCCTGTTCGCGAACTCGACCTCGCCTAATGCCGCGAAGGTTCATGAACTGTCGCGCCTCAAAATCGCGACGCCGCCTCTACCGCGAACTCCC